GCATTTTCCCAGCACCAGGACCCCCCCACCCCCCCATGGCAGCGCCTTGCCTCTCTGCCCTCTGCCCAAAACTTTCCTTTTAGTCCATTTTCCAGTCCTCCCCAGAGGGAAATCACTTTGCATGCGTTTTCCTCCCGACGTCTCCTGCTTTCACACACATATTTGGTCAATTTTCAATAACGGAATTGAAATGCAAACACACACACACACACACACACACACATAATCAAGCATTGAACGCATTTACAATTGGGTTTTTATATTTTTGGGCCAAAGGATTTGCTTCGGGACCAGTCCACAGGGGACAAAAAGGGTTTCCAGGAGCAGGAGGGGCAGGGGGGGAGGCAGGAGGCGTGAGAGAAACACTGAAAATGGCATAAATACGTAATACAGGACATTTGCATATTTCATAAGGACATGACCCACATACAAAATAAAACACACACAAAAATTATCACAATTCTCTGTTCTTTCGTTCTCTCAAAGGAAATTTTCTTTTTATTGCTCGATAGTTTCCTCTGTCATTGAGTGGTGGAGCAGAGAGGGGGGAAGGGCTGAGAGAGGGGCTGAGAGAAGGGCAGTGTGTGTTGGAGAGAGAGAATGAGAGGGAAAAACGATGCCATTATTGGGGATTTTTAGGGAATTCCATTCACATTATTTCAGGGGATTTTTTTTTGACCTTTCATTAAATAAAAGCAAAGAGAGTTGTGTTCATTATTGGCAGAGAAAGGAACTACAGATTCGAATTGAAAACATATATTTTTGTGCCTAAAGGGGAATCACAATTTCACAGGAAAAAACTATGACAAATGAAAGGAAAACCCTCGAGGATCGCATTTCATACTTCTGTAGCATAAAAATACTCTCCTTCAAGGAATCGCCCTTCTTTATAGGGTTAGAAGGTAAAACTGGGATGGAAATCGTAATATTGTTGAGGTAAAATAAACCCAAAATAATAATGTGCCGGATTCGCAGAGATCAAGAGCTTTCAGAGACGTTAAGGTGATAATTTATCTTCGTTTACTTCCTGTAGTTTCCCTATCGCCGCCCAACCTATCCATCACTTTGCCACATATTCGAGCCGTTGGCGGTAATAGATCACAATCAAAAGACACCCAATTATAGCCCCCCCCCCCCATCACACTCCGCCCTCCCCGCAAAGAAAGCAGAGCGTTGGCAAAATTGTTGACTGACATTTGGGGGCGGCAGCACCTGAATGAGTGGCCCCTTCCGACCCGTCAAATGCCTCGAATACGAATACGAATACGAATACGAATCACTCGTTTCATTCACACGAACGAGTGTGTATCGCTTGCAACTGATTGGCATTGACAGACGTCGTTCGCGAGTGTCCGAATGCCTGCTGTCCCCCCCCCCCCCCCTAACCCCCTCTTGTCGCTGGGCAACTGCAATTTTGTATCTTGATAAATTACTTATGACTTGGCCCAGACATTGATGAGGCAGTGCGCGAAGAGGCACGCCGACTGGTGGCTGGGGGGGGGGGGGGGGGCAGGTAACGAGACACACAGCAGAAAATCACAAAATGCGCACCTGAAAACATTTAGCGATAACAAAAGGCATGACAACAACGACACAGCGGAAGGGTGGAGGGGTGGAAAGGGTAGAAAGGGTACTCAATCGATGGATACCCTTTCGCTGGTTCATTCAAGGGGATATGCCAAGGCTAGGGCCTGCTCCGAAGCGTTATACCCAGCTTAGAGGGTATGAAAAGTGCCAGAAGGGAGAGAGAGGGGGAGAGGAGTAGAAGAGGGGGTGTGGGAGAGGGGGTGTGGGAGAGGTGGTGTGGGAGAGGGGGTGTGCAAGATCGTGAATAAAAACAAAATAAATTACTAATAAATATTTATTTGCTTGACTCAGAAATCCAGCACCGCCCCCCCTCCACCTCATCCCCTACTCGCACTCCCCCCATCCCCTCGTACACCCCCTCTCTCCCCGCTCTTATCTTATTCTTTTCAAACTTTATTTCTCTCTTTTGTTTTTTCTTTTCTGGCGATTTGTGTTTTCTGTTTGGGCGTCTGTGCCTGTGTTTTGGCAGCCAACAAAGGCGACAACCAAATCACGGCACGGCACGGCACGCGGGGAGGGGGACGGGGGTGCTGGGGGGAGACGACTCCAAATCGATGAGACGCTGGTCGCCTGCCTGCCTGCCTGAACGGAGGGAAAGGCAGGGCGATGGAGACGTCGCCAACGGCGTCGGTGGGACAGTTAATGGCGACAACGACGGCGCACGTCTGGCAGCAGCAAAGGCAACGGGCAACGGGCAATGGGCAATGGGCAATGGGCAATGAGGAGGATGACGATGACGATGACGCTGACGGTGTCGTCGACCAGACAAACCCCGCCAGAAGGCAGACAGCGGTACGGAATGACAGCGGGACAGACGCCAAGAACCCCGACACCCCCACACCCCCACACCCCCACGTCCCCGACACAGCCAAGTGTCGAGGATATTGGAGGAATAGAAGGAGGCCTGGAGGAGGCCGGGAGGAGGCCCGGAGGAAAGCGAGGGGGAAACTTAAAGAGAAATACACTTTTAAAAACCCTCAGAGAGTGATTTTTGGGCTAGATGGAAGACTATAAGACATAGAGAATTGTAGGGGAAAAGGGCCTTAGACCAAGGCTTCCACGGGGCTGCGGTTTGACCCTTTTGGAGGAGCACGATCTGAGCTTGGGCGAGCATTCAATCGCCGCATCCTAGGCCTCTCGAGGATCAATATGCCTAAAACGCTCTCTGTGGTTCGCCCTGGAGCCGGTTGGGAGGAGAGCCAGCAGTGCGCCCAGAGGCCAGAGGGCATCAGGGACTCAGGGCCAGGCGGCGATCGGACACGGACTGGGCGGAGGAGTCAGACCTTTCGGAAGATGGAGCTGTGCTCAGCGCCTGCCACTGCCTGGCCGGGGCTGGACGAGGGCGTGGTAGGGGTGGCCATAGAAGACTGTTTTTCCCCCATCGATCGCCACCGCACAGATGGGAAATGGTTGCTGCTTTTGTGGGTTGACAAATGAAGCGGTTAAAGTTCTTAATAACAATTTTCAGGCCATACATACGAGGGGTGCTTAAACTGTTTGCATTTGCCTCATTGATTGTGTTTTTCTCCCCGTCGCCGGGCGTCTCCGGGCGTCTCCGGGCGTCTCTTGGCGGCACACACACGCGCGCCCAACGGTAAACACTCTTGAATTGAGTCTGCGAGACACTCAAGAGGGGGGCAGCGGAGTCCGCTGGGAGAGCCACCCGAAAATACAGTTGACGGAAGCGCGACATGCACCACCCTCCAGTGAGCTCGGCGATTCAGCGTATCTGTTGGATTCCCTTCTTGTTGTTCGTGGATAAACACGCAATTTTCCACTTCTTGGCCGACCGCCTGCCCGCCCCCCGCCCGCCTCCCTGCACGTGCTGCTTGGGCGGACCAACAATAAAAACAATCAGTCAATAAGTAAAATTAAAATAATAACAAATTTTCGTGAAAGAAGCACCAGACAAATATAATCAACGAAGAGCAGGAATTCCAGCCAGCAATGGGGGCGGGGCAGGGGGGGTTGGGGGCGCTGCAAAATCTGTACATTTTTTCCATTTAAGTCGTAAAAATAATTTCATTTAGCCCCAAAAAGGGGGGGTGAAGAGGGGGGGGGGGGGGGATGCTGTGTTTAGAGATGCTCTGCGTAAGAATATTAAGTAATGGCTGTTCGGGGAATGTTCTCTGGGATTTTTGTTTGTTTATAAAACCAGCAACAAGTTGATTTTGATTTTTTCTGCTGCCGATTGGAAATCGTATTCGAAATCGAATAAATATGTTTAATGATTGTTTTTATAATTCCCGCGAAGGCGAAAAGAATTGCGCAATCCTCCCCCCCCCCCCCCCCCCCCCCCAAAATAAGAAAATCAATACATAAATAGAGTAGTGGAAAGGGGGGGGGGGGGGGGGGGGGCAAAAGGAGGTATATCATATCTGCCACACCGCCAGCCCCCCAGCAACTCCTCCTCTTCTGTGCAACAAATTGGTTTTCGCCTTTGGAATTGCTCATTTTTTTCCTTTTTTTCTTTTTCCCTTTTTTTTTGGGCTACGGAAAGTTTTTCCCTTTTTTTTTTGTCGAAAAGAAAGTCCCAGATATATCCTTTTCTTGTGCCACTCTCTCATTGTCGCCCCTCGTTTCATGCCACAGAAGAAACGAAGAGGGGGCTGGGAGGAGGTGGGGAAAAAAATTGTTTTGGCCCCCAATGCGGGAGCGAAGGCCTAATCAAGTAACCCGAACACGTTCTTTGTTAGATTTATATGGAAAATATATATTTTTATACATGCAAGCCAAGGACCCAGACCCCACCCCGCCCCCCCCGCCCCCTGCTGCGGGGGTGGAAAGCTTTCTTGCAAGGCTGGGGCTGTGGGTGGGGCATGTGGCAGCGGCAGCGGCAGTGGCAGCGGCTAGACTTTGCCGCGTAGTCAAAAGTGATATTTTACATATTTTCCACCGACATTTCTTTTCCCCCTTCTTTCTCTTTCGTTCTGGCTGCTCCTTTTTTTCAGCTTTTGCTTGAATTTTATTACTTAACGGTTAAGTTTGCTTCTTGGGCGGGCAGGGGTGGTGGGGGGGGGGATTTCCTTCATTTTGCCTCTTCTTTTGCTTGCAAGTTTTTTCTGTGTTTTTTTTTTGTGTTTTTTCTGTTTTAAAATTGAAAAGTTGTAAAAGGATTTCACTGGGGCTCCTCGCCCCCCTCCCCCCCTTGGTTGGGTCGGAAAATTAAACACTTTCTTTTTGGGGAAAAAATGATCAAACAAAAAGCTTTTATTTCAACAAAAAATATACTCGTAAATGTATCTTGTGGATGTCACGCAGAGATGGAAATGAGATGCGGAACAATGGGGGGATGGGGGGATGGTGCGGGGGGTGGGGGGATGCTATCACAATTACCAGCTGCCGCCACCGCCGCCGCCGCCGCCCTGCGCCCAGCCACCAGCTGGAGCCCATCCGGCGGCCTGACCACCGCCCTGCGCCCATCCGCCGCCGCCGCCACCACCAGCTCCAGAATCCGATTCGGAGATGATTTTGATGATCTTGACAGCCGAGGAGGCATCACCGCCGCCGCCACCACCGGAGGCCCAGCCGCCGCCGCCGCCGCCAGCACCGCCGGAGGACCAGCCACCACTGGAGGCACCGCCCGAGGACCAGCCGCCACTGGAGGCACCGCCCGAGGACCAGCCACCACCGCCATGTCCTCCGGAAGCCGCCTGCTGGGAGATGATCTTGATGATTTTGATCTCCTGACCGCCGCCGCCTCCATAGCCACCGCCGCCCGACTGCCAGCCACCGCCGCCGCCTCCTCCTCCCAACTGCCAGCCGCCGCCGCCTCCTCCTCCTGACTGCCAGCCGCCTCCTCCGCCACCTGAGGGTGCACTCTCGTGGATCACTTTGATGACCTTCACAGGAGCAGCAGCCCCATGATCATGTCCGCCACCGCCGCCGCCGCCGCCGCCGCCATAGCTGTAGCCACCGCCACCGCCGCCGCCACCATGGGATCCATGGGAGTCGCCTCCGCCGCCTCCTGATCCACCAATGAAGCCGGCATGGGCAACGGCGCCAAGGGCCAGTAAGCAGACAAAGATTTTCATGACGATGATGTTGACCTGTTGGAGATGAGCCAAGGCGGTGAACTGATGCCACAACCAGAGCGGATCTTAGCTTTTATAGAGCATTTCGGTCGCCCCGTAAAATGCAGACGCAGACGCAGACGCAGATCGGCCTTGGACGGCAGCACGAACGGTGGCCGGAAGCGGAGCAGCAGAGGGTGCTCCAGGCCACGGGCCGCGGCAGAGGCTCGAGTGGCAGCGAAAGCCAACGACGCGGCGTCGGTGGGTTGATGTCAAGACGCCGCCGTCGCCTATAACTTATTTTCATGCGAAATGTGGCTTACATCAGAGGAGCAGGGGTATGCCGGGGTATGGAGGACCATGTCTGGAGACGGAGGGAAGTATATCCCTATCAACCAAATGAGGTCTGGGAGCGTGAAGCAGACCCTTTCTGGGGCCTCGAGTGCCCAAGGATGCCCTCTCATCTCATCCCAAGGGTGAGGGCATTCGCTCTTCGACCTGGGCGATCGGTTGTTATACTTTCTCGCTGTGATTATGCAATCAAACATCAGGCAACAGGCAACAGCAAACAACAAACAAATGAGCAAACAAGCAGCCCCACGGCATGGCGCTTCGAGCGTGCACTCAAATGAGGTTTTTCTGGTTGATCATCCACTCGCACCACTCGCACCACTCGCACCACTCGCACCACTCGCACCACTCGCACCACTCGCACCACTCGCACCACTCGCACCAGTCGATTCGGTAACCCACACTCTCTCTCCTCTCGACCTCCGAGTCGCTTCGATCCCGTGATTAATGGATGCGGAGCATTACAGAGACGGAGCCGGACCCCAGAGCTCCCCCCCCCCCCCCCCCGCACAGACTGTCCCTGACATCGTTTGATAGTTTTTGATTTTTTCTTTCTTTGTGTGCGCGCAGCTACCGTCGCTGGCTGTTACGCAGGCCCGTCCTTAAGATCCATTCCACTCCATTCATGATCCATCCTGCCATTCATTCAATCATCCATCATTCAGCCACGATAGCCGTGGTGCCCGTAGAGCCCGTGGAGCCCGTGGAGTCGTCGTATGCAAATTTCCAATCAATTAATCAATTTGTTTTGGCCAATAAATATGACTAAATATGGCCAAAGCGATCTCTGGCCAGCAAAAATAATGATAAATGGTTTCGGTTTTTGACGGATTTTTCGTTTGTTTTTTGTTTTCTTTTTTTGCAAAAAAATAAATTCAATTAAACAAAATATTTCCCTCCAAAATGAACGTGGGAATATTTTCAGCCGCACGCATGACAAAATCTGTCCCCCCCCTCCTTACTTGCCCCACCAAATGGGCATGCAACATGCTGCCAAAAACAGTTTTCCATGTGAGAAAGAGAAGGTTGTTTTGGCCTTAAATATTTATGTATATTTAAGGTAATATCTTAATTAATGGCTGGCTAAAGGAGAAAGGTCTGAGAGAGAGAGAGAGAGAGGGGGGCTACGATTAATCCAAAGAAAGTTCATCGAATTAGGGGCATAATTATGGATATTCGAAGGGGCAGCAAGAGTTCTTTGCAGAGAAAAGAGAAGGCCAGAAGAAAGGTCTATTGAAGGGCCTTCAAAGTGGATTCTCGGGGAAGTTTGATTTATGGAGATCTTTGGAGAAAGTCCTGCATGTTAGGGGGTTTATGGGTAAGAGTTCTAGTGGCTCAGACGACGGGCTGTCCAACGTGGCAAAAGCTCAGAGATCAATCCAAAAAAAAGGTGGATTAGAGGCCGTATTTCGAGTACCCTGGAAGTCCCTGAAAAAGGAGCCCTTGGAGAGGCAAAGCCCAGCATCCTTGAGGGTCTGTATTGAAGGGTTTACCACCCCCCCCCCCCACCCCCTTTCCTTTGGGCAGAGACTTTTCTTTTGGCAATTAACATTTTCCCTAGCTTCCAACCAGGAAACACTTTTTGGCCGCCAGGAAGTTTAAGAGTTTTGTGGAGGCATGAAAAAGGGGAGAGGGGAGAGGGGGGAGGGGGCAAGGGCGACGGGGGGAAGGGTCCAAGTCCAGCCTGAGATTTGCTGGTAAATATACAATATATATATATGAGTGGAAAAGCGAAAAATAAAGTTGCAATTCCTGCTGCAAGAGCTGTCAAAATGTTGCTGTGGCAACTGCAACGTCTCTGCTGGGCTCGGCAACCTGCTGACTGTTTGACTGTTGACTGCTGCCGCCGCTGCCGCTGCTGCTGCCCGTCGTTTTTTCTTTCCCATGTGAATGCTTAGCCGATTGCAAAGTGTATGCCCCCCCCTCCACCCGTCCTGCCGCCGCACCACTCTCTTTGGGGCAGGCACACATAACTGGAGTCAAGTTTTTGGGCTGCCGCTGCCACCGTTGCCACTTGGTTGATATTTTTGTCTACAAAAACAATTTCGACAGTTGCGCATTTTTCACGCTGCCTCATTTGCAGCGATTTTCAATGCGATATGTTGTTGTTGCCTGCCTGCCTGCCTGCCTGCCTGCCAGCCAGCCTGCCTGCCACCGATTGTTGCCGGTTGCTGTTCACATAACCATAACTCCGCTTGCCACCTTTTCAGTGGGGTTTTCAGTGGGGTTTTCTGTGATTTCCTTGCCTTCAGGATCGTGACACAGCAGCGGCACCGAGCTCTGCTCTCAACCATGTGGATGTTGCAAGCAGCACCAGAGATTAGCTGCAGCAATGCTCGGGCCCTAAATGAAATCAGCCATAAAGCGAGGCCTTAGAAACCTTTTGCTAATATGTCATGAACCAATCGAGGGGGCGAGTGGAGGGGGGAGTGGTTTGGGGGCTCTCCCCCTCCTCCTCCTCCACCGTGGGGTCAGCGCATTGGGAGCATTGGGCAATTGGCATTTTGTTTGAGACTCGGTTATGCTGCCGCCGTCGCTGCTCTCCGTCTGTGTTATGTGGCAGGCGGCGGAAACCAGTTTACCGTTAGCACACACATGTGTCCCAACGGCGGCGGTACAGTGGTGACCCATTAATGCAATCAGCGAATGACTCCAACAGCATGGAACACATGTAAGTCAAGTGGCAAACTGTGGCCCTCCCTCCGGGTCTCCCTCCGGGTCCCCCCCCCCCCCCGCATCTGGAAGTCTCAGTCACGGGTTGCGGCTCATTACGCAGTTTTGCCTTTGATTTGCATACAAAATTGAATGCAACTTGCGGCCACAAATCGACAGTTGGCCCCTTGGGAGGGGTCTCTGTCTGTGTCTGTGTGTGTGTCTGTGTGTGTGTGTGCTCCCCTTTTGGGGGCACCGCTTTTCGTTTTGTGTGACATGTGCAATGGAGAATTATTTGCTTATGGTTCAACAGACAACATTTGGGCCGGGGTGGGGCGGGGGGTCTTTGAATAACTTGTAAACTGTCAAAAGGAACATTCATGCCGTTAACCCATTAACCCATTAACCCATTGATGGCGCGGGCAACAGCTTCCAAGAGCCACATCTTCAGGGTTCGAAGGGTCTGTGTTGTCAGAGGAGGATGTTCCTCGGAGTTGGCTTAAACGAAAGCTCTCGAAAGACATTGCTATAGCTATGAAATGCCATTGTGTGATCACTGGTTATCGATATGTGATCGATAAGGTATCAATTCTATCGTAGCAGCCCTCCTCTGCTCTGGTTCTGCCTGGGAACAGCATCGTTTGAGGTCTAGATATCGGAGTTAACACAACAAAAGCTCTTGGGACTCTGGAGAGCAGTCTTCATGGGATTTTAATCGATTTCGATTGCCAATATATCGATTAAACTCTTATCATCGGCTGCCACTCCAGCAGCTTCCCCTTGAAGAAGATTTCTTTGCAGATTTTCGCCTCTCATGAAGATTCCTGAAGAAATGCCCCTTTCCGGAGCCAATCCTTTGCCATTCAGCTGTAATCGAACTATCGTTTATCGTTTGGGTCATCGTTTACCCTCTAGGGCTGCCAGTGGGTTAACATATTACCGTTATACTCGTAGCTAGAGCCTCTCATAATTCCATATTCTGGCGGCCTGGCATTCCTGCACTGCATTCGATTGTCGTACGCGGCGTATGCGCAATTTCAGACTCGTTGCATTCTCAGTGCCACAGTGCCGCAGTGCTGCAGTGCTGCAGTGCCACAGTGCCGCAGTGCTGACCATGCCACATTCGCTTTTCGTCTCAATTGCAATCGAGAGACAAATTGCGACCCCTTTGACAGCTTGGAATTTGACTTTTTGATTGACAACAGCGGCAGCGGCGGCGGCGGCGGCGGCGGCAGCGGCAGCGGCAGCGGCAGACACAACGATCTGTGATCTGTGCGAGTTGCAACCAAAACTTTTGGCTTTGGCTGCAGCCAATGAATCGATTTCGCAAACAAAAAAGGCAGCAGCTTTAAAGTTCAGTTTATTAAACGTCGACCTCGAAAACAAATTCAATTATGCAGAAAAGAAGGAGGAGATGGAGCGGAGATCGAGGGGGCACCGCGGTGCGGTGGTGGAGCATGGTGGTGGAGAGACCCAAAAAACAAAAACCGCTATGGCACCTACGCCGCCGACTCCAAAAGCAATTTGCCAAAACAAAAACAAAAATAGCGACAAATATCAGAGTGTGACGAGTGGCGGCTTCACCTTGCCCCCCACACCCCCCACGCCCCTGGGGGGGCTGTACCACTCCTCCGAAATAAAACAAAACACAAAAACACATCAATGCCAAAAAGACAAAGCGAATGAGCGACAGGCACAACAAAAACAGGGCACAGAGACGACTGTCTCTCTCTTGAGAGAAATCCAAGTGAAAATCAATTGCAGAAAGCGAAGTAGGGGGTACAGGCAGGGGGGGGGGGAGGGGGGGGGGGATATGGCCATTCTATCAGTTTTAGTTTTCTTCCTTTCGAGTTAACTCGTCAACTGCCTCTGGTCCTCCTCCTCTCTGGCCAGAAATAGAGACCGCGAGACTGGAGGCCTCTCTGGCTCCATCTCCATCTCCAAGTGAGAGACACAAAGCCAGCAGCTGACGTTACAGGTTTTCAAATCTGGCACATTAATTTCAAAGACAAATGAAA